GTAAGACCAAATTGGCCTCGAGAGAGCTTTTGGGTCTCGTTGGGGGGGCTGGGCCCTATCCGCCAATTATTAAACTTGATCAACCCTTGCTTGGAAAATATATCACAAAGCAGGAGATTAGTGCTGGACAAACAGCAGTCACATTTGCAAATGCGATTTATTACTTTGATCATTACGCCCGCCCCCCACGCCCGCCTCCCTGTATCGATCGTTCAATGTTAGTTTTGAACATCCTTGCGAAAGGTTTATTTTTAGTGTTTGAACATCTTAACACCTCCTGTTTTATTGCCAGAAGGGGTAAAACCTCTTTTTAATTTTTTCAGTTCAATGTTAATGTGCCATTTTACGTATGGACCCCCTACTGCGTGGTGTTATCTATAGGTGTCGTCTGGGACTGTTTTTGTTATTGTTGTTTTTGTTATTGTTGTTTTTGTTATTGTTTTTGTTATTGTTTTTGTTATTGTTTTTGTTATTGTTGTTTTTGCTCTTGCCCAAGCTGGGTAAATCGGACTTGTGTAATTAATTAAATATAATAAATGTATTGCGGGATAAATGTATTACTTTTATTTATTGACTTATTCTATTCTATTTCGGATTTATATACGCTTACCATTTCCTCTATTTTGCACTCTTATCGTTGTGGTTTTTTGTACTGTTTGCTGTTGTAACTCGCTGACGCGCCCATACTGGACATCTGCGGAAAAGAGCTTCATAGCTCATCGGATTCCTCCTCCAGTCTAAATCAAGATTCTCAATAATGTGAGCACGAAACGGAAGGCCTGCGCGCCTTCTTTATCTTTTATTAGCATCGTCATCAATCATAGCAGAGGCGTCCCACTTGAAGTGATGCATGTCGCCGATGCCTACCTGGGGAAGGAAGAGTCACGTGAATGGGGGAGGGAGTCTGAACGTTGAGACCAATATAACATTCTCTACAGCGTAGGCATGAACCGAAACATCCAGTCAAACGCGCTGTTTACCGAGAAAGCACACATGACTCTGCAGATGAGGCAGCGAACGGGCAGAGAAAAATAAGGCAATGGTGACGGTGGCTGTGTTCGGGATTTTGAAAACATTTTCATAGGCTCGAACCTGTCATTCTGCAGACACAAACGGTAAGTTGTATTTAATTACCTTTCAGAAATAGAGGTGTTGGGTTTGATCGCGTAACTATAAATGTGTCGTTAAACCCGCCACCAACCGACGCAGCCAATTGGTAAGGTTTGTCGCGTAAACAAAACGTGCCAATTCGTTACTAGTTCAGCACACCGGTTGTGTGTTTGAGAGTAAACCCACAACATCTATAATTCGAGTACGATGCTTCGCCCGTAATTACAACCAGCATAATCAGGCGATAGCCAGAGTTATAATATTGGTTCCGAAAGCCTACACGTTAAACTTAATTACCTTTGCATTAAATTTCGATTTAAAGCTTTCGTGACTGCAAGGATTCATCTTCTTTGGTTCTTTCGGTAAAGTCACGTAGAATGAAAATAAAATAAAATAACACAATAAAATTCTCACGACGTTTCGGCCACAACACAAGCAGCCTTCTTCAGGTGAAAGAACAGAACTGTCGGGACGACAGAGCTTCAATTAACGTTGTTAAGATTTGCAGCGTCTTTTTAGCTCGGTGAGAGGCGCGGCGAGCCTTGACAAAGGAGTTTACCTATCAAAGCAGGAGAATTTAGCATTGAAATAGTCGAGGGATTAGCTCGTGACAGAAATAGATGTGTTAAAGTCAAAGTTTACATATCCACAGAAGCATTTAGTATATGGACGCTAAAGGCCTCCAATTACCAACTATTATAAAATAGACCATAGCGTCTTTTAAGTTCGGTGAGAAGCCAAATCAGAGCGCTGTGTGAGAAATTTGAATACTAATTGCATTTCCCAGTCATTTAACTCGTGAGCAAATGGTATTTTTTGACAAGCTACATACATGACAAGAGAAGGCTCAACTATTGTGATTAAAAGAAAAGTGAAGGGAGGCAGGAGTCATTGTGAGAGCCAATGTTTAAAGAGCATCAATGTGGAGGATGTTCGGAGTTCCATGAGAGGAGAGTGTAAAGGACTTGGGACGTTTGGAATAGACCGCGATGGGAAGGCGTTGCAGACGTAATCGGGAATGGGAGGTTGCGATCAGGTGTAATGTGTGTATGTGTGAACTTCTTTCGCACCGTACGTAGACAACCATGCTAATCAGAGGGGTAGGACAACAAACAAAACACACAAAAAGCAGTTCTTAAGAAATTAGTTTTCAATCTAGACGTCTTAAAAGTGCACAGCTCCAGTGGCTTCCTCATATTGGAAGGAAGAGAGCGTTCCAGACGGCTGCAGAAGCGCATCTGGAAGCGCGCGATGTGGTGACCGTCTGTGTGTGATGGCTAGCCCAAGTCCGCGAAACTTTTCTCGAATTGGCGTGTCTAATGTGTGTAATGTGTCTAATGTGTCTAATGCGTCTAATGTGTGCATGATCTCTCATCCACGGGCCCACTCTACCCGTCTCTGAATGTAATGCCAAGCATGCGTCTCTCCACACTTTTCAGGTGACCGGTTATGTTAAACATGCAGAATCATGTCCTAACTTCGATGTCTAAAGAATATTGCCTCGCCAATTGCCACCATCATTGGTGATAAGAGACACCAGCACGTTTGAATAAAAAATAATTATAATGCATTAATTTAGCCCAGTGATATATAATGAAAACCTCCAACGTATTTTGCATCTCAAGATATTTTGTTGTTGTTAAGTGACAACACATCCTTGAGTGACTCAGTCTTGATTTGAGAACGGTAACATTTTGCTTTTCTGGCCGTGATCACGAGTGAGTGGATACAGTGAGGGAAGAAAAGTATTGGATCCCCTGCTGATTTTGTACGTTTGCCCACTGACAAAGAAATGCTCAGTCTATAATTTTAATGGTAGGTTTATTTCAACAGTGAGAGACAAAATAACAACAAGGAAATCCAGAAAAACGCATGTCAAAAATGTTATAAATTGATTTGCATTTTAATGAGGGAAATAAGTATTTGACCCCTCTGCAAAACATGACTTAGTACTTGGTGGCAAAACCGTTGTTTGCAATCACAGAGGTCAGACGTTTCTTGTAGTTGGCCACCAGGTTTGCACACATCTCAGGAGGGATTTTGTCCCACTCCTCTTTGCAGATATTCTCCAAGTCATTAAGGTTTCGAGGCTGACGTTTGGCAACTCGAACCTTCAGCTCTCTCCACAGATTTTCATTGGGATTAAGGTCTGGAGACTGGCTAGGCCACTGCAGGACCTTAATGTGCTTCTTCTTGAGCAACTCCTTTGTTTCCTTGGCCGTGTGTTTTGGGTCATTGTCATGCTGGAATACCCATCCACGACCCATTTTCAATGCCCTGGCTGAGGGAAGGAGGTTCTCACCCAAGAGTTGACGGTACATGGCCCCGTCCATCGTCCCTTTGATGCGGTGAAGTTGTCCTGTCCAATTAGCAGAAAAACACCCCCAAAGCATAATGTTTCCACCTCCATGTTTGACGGTGGGGATGGTGTTCTTGGGGTCATAGGCAGCATTCCTCCTCCTCCAAACACGGCGAGTTGAGTTGATGCCAAAGAGCTCCATTTTGGTCTCATCTGACCACAACACTTTCACCCAGTTGTCCTCTGAATCATTCAGATGTTCATTGGCAACATTCAGACGGGCATGTATATGTGCTTTCTTGAGTAGGGAGACTTTGCGGGCGCTGCAGGATTTCAATCCTTCACGGCGTAGCGTGTTACCAATTGTTTTCTTGATGACTATGGTCCCAGCTGCCTTGAGATCATTGACAAGATCCTCCCGTGTAGTTCTGGGCTGATTCCTCACCGTTCTCATGATCATTGCAACTCCAGGAGGTGATATCTTGCATGGAGCCCTAGGCCGAGGGAGATTGACAGTTATTTTGTGTTTCTTCCATTTGCGAATAATCGCACCAACTGTTGTCACCTTCTCACCAAGCTGCTTGGCAATGGTCTTGTAGCCCATTCCAGCCTTGTGTAGGTCTACAATCTTGTCCCTGACATCCTTGGAGAGCTCTTTGGTCTTGGCCATGGTGGAGAGTTTGGAATCTAATTGATTGCTTCTGTGGACAGGTGTCTTTTATACAGGTAACAAGCTGAGATTAGGAGCACTCCCTTTAAGAGTGTGCTCCTAAATAAGCTCGTTACCTGTATAAAAGACACCTGGGAGCCAGAAATCTTTCTGATTGAGAGGGAGTCAAATACTTATTTCCCTCATTAAAAACATGCGTTTTTCTGGATTTTGTTGTTGTTATTCTGTCTCTCACTGTTCAAATAAACCTACCATTAAAATTATAGAATGATCATTTCTTTGTCAGTGGGCAAACGTACAAAATCAGCAGGGGATCAAATACTTTTTTTCCCTCACTGTACGACCACAGTTGGTACAGATTGCAACTGGCCTTGTTGAAATCAGCATCATCACCATCACCAGCCACGGTCAATCCACCGCTGGATGAACGCCTCCCCACATCCATCACGATCCCTCGTGGGCCAGCGTTGCTCGACCGCCGCACGGGGCCAGCGACATGGCCCAGTGGTCGAGCTTCACCGGTTCGAACTCCGGCAGGCCGCCCTGGTTATTCATGCAGCGTGTATTAGCCATAAAGTAGGCGCCGTCCGCTTCGCAGCGGCCGTTAAAGATCCCCTGACGTATCCCGCTCGCAGCCCCTACGCTGGTGGAGTGGCGATCGCGTTCCTCGCCCCCCTCTCCCCCCCCAGGCCGTGTGAGCGCACTGCCTTTTGGGCTTAAGCCCCTCGAACATTCTCAGGGCCTCGTCTTCTTGGTTCTTTCGGTAAAGTCACGTAGAAGGGAAATAATAAAATAATAATAATATTTTATTTTATTATGTTATATTTTCATTATTTTATTTCCAATACTAAAAATAAAACGTAATATTTTATTTTATTATGTTTTATTTTTATTATTTTATTTCCAAGACGATGAATCCCTGCAGTCACGAACGCTTTAAATCGAAATCCTCAGGGCCCTTCACTTGTCATCGCTTTGCTCGCGCTCCTTTACTGGGCTCTTGTCAGAATAAAACAAATAATAAAACATCCCCTGACGTCATTCGAAGTGAGCAGCTCGTTGCGTGCCGGCGCCTAAACCGTGGCTGCACCCACCTCTTCCGAGACATCGTGGAAGAGTAGGCCAATTACCGCGAGCAAAGGGCACCCCCCACCCCGCTCCACCGGTGTCACGAGAGCTAAATTGCTGGGTTCCTTGTCCTTTAACGTCAACATTTTACCTCTTGTGCAACAGCGTGCACAAATTGTGGTCAGCTATCAGAAGAATGTGAAGGACGCGACTCTCACCTTTCCGCATGCCAGTCCGAGAAGTTTGGTAGAGAGCTCGCGGGCCGAATGTCGGAGGGCGCGTGGCTGGTATGCGGATGCGCGTCTCAAACTTTCTGGGGTTCCATCTGCAAGACGGTGGTGTATCTGCGCTTGTTAAGCATTAGTGACGCCTCGTGCAACACTCTGAAGACCGGGTTTAAGCGCTTCAGAAGACCACGCCGATTGCAGGTAATCACTGTGTTCGCTCAATTGTGTGTCCAAAGTGCGTCCGTGATTTGACGTTTGTCAGCAATGAAATGGTAATTATCGCTGTCAATCATTACTCGTAACTGCCGTCGTGCCGTGGTTAACGCGCTGGTCCCGAAACATGGTGCACCAGAGTTGGATTCCCTGACAACGGCTAATGTTATTGGTCGGTGATATCTGAACTCATTGTATCCCAACCCCCCATCCCCCCCCCCCTTTGCCAACCCGCACTGACCAGCGTGGTGAAGTATGTTCGAAGAAACCCCATGAACCAACAATATTGTGGGGAGGGCCATCATCCAGCAGTGGATTGCTGGACGATGGCCCTTTTCTGTTCACCATTTGGCGAAATATTCAGGAGCTAAATTCCATTGTGGAGGTCTGCGAGGCTTCAGTTGATAGAGAGAGAGAGAGTGTGAGTCCGTTGAAGGGGCGCAGACTTGAGTGATTTACTCTGTGGTCAATAGTTGGGCTTGAATGGCCACAATGACGACCCTGTGAACAGTTAATTATTGTGCGTACGTATTTAGGAGAGGCGAATTTACAATGCGAGAGTGTTTTATTTGTTTATAGCCTTCAAGGTCGATGTTTGTTATGATTCCATTGTCTCGGCCATCGTTATTATGCACAGTGGTGTGTGGGACCGTTTGGGAGCCTTGAACCATCCCAGGGAGATATTCGAAGAGCTGTAGATAATACATGGAAGGAGGAGTGAGATATTAGCGATGTCGACAAGAAAAGGAGATGTAGCAAGACGAGAGAAGGAAAATGAACACGAGGGTAGAGATGAGAGAGATTCATTTGCGTTTCATAGTAATCGGCTCGTTATCTTTATTTGAATTTGAGCTGATATTTGATGCGCCATCATTATTTTCATGAATCCAAGGCCACTTGAGCTGCCTCGGGGCGCTAAGTCTGTGCTTGGTTTGATATTTGTTCTTTCCCGCTGATGCACAGCGCTGTTGAGAATAACAATTTAAAGGGCACTTTATAAAACTAAGTTGTTATTATTGTGCCTAGCGCCGCCACTGATCATGTATCGGATCCATACTCTTTGGTTCTTTCGGTAAAGTCATGTAGGTATAAAATAAAATAAATCACGACGTTTCGGGCGCAACACAAGCGTCCATCATCAGGGGCACATTCTTGATTTGAATCGAGATTTGAATCAAGATTCAAATCAAGAATGTTTCGGATCGTTGCCACTTTGACCGTTCAGAAAATTAATTGTGCTTGGGCGCGGCGCGTCGAGACTCATGACAGAGTGGCGGTCAAATGATTGATGATGGTCAAACGTAGATACTCGAATCCACCAATAGTGCCTCCCACGTCACGTGCAGGTTTTACGATGCCCTTTATACGGGGAGGCTTCAACGAGTCTCAAGGCGTCCTTGTTGGAGGGCTCTTGCGTTGCACCGACTGGTACATTTCTGAAGAAGAAAATTGGGTTGCATGTGGGAGGAGAGCGGAGTACGCCGGGAAAACCCAGCGCACGTACGGTTGGGGGGGTGGGGGCCTCGCCAGTGAAATCATTCGAACGCGGTTCGACGGAGCCACCGCCATCTGTCGGTCACCGTGCAGTTCGGTGGATTTGCGAGTTTCACAAACGCTGAAATGCGTTGCCCCGGCGATAGACACAAAAAAACGATTGGCAATGACACTGTCCAAAAAGGACAAAGTTACAGGGGTCCCATAATTTATCAATTGCGTTCGCGTGAAATGTCACAAGCCGAACGTTCGTAAGTCGAGCATAACCTGTGCTATACAGGGTGGTCCAAATGTCTTGGGACCTCTCTCAAACTTTATATGTTTACAGTAGGGTTTATTATTATTATTGAAAACAAATTAACATGCAAACTAAAACAAAAGGTCGGTGGTGAATTAACCGGCGGGTCACAAGACATGTGGACCGCCCTGTATGTATATAGTCGGTGACATTTTCATAGCAGAGAGATTTCTGCAGACAGAAGCTGCTATGAAGAATGTCCTTGGGCCAAAACACTGCCTATCCCCCCCCCCCCCCCATTTTTTAGGGCAGTGTTGTTTGTGAAAAATGTGTTGAGTTTTCATTTTTTGTGCTTACGTGCCATTGGCAACGCAGTATGGCAAGATAAAACGTGTTCACTAACTGGAGGCATTGCCTTCAAAGCGCTGGATTTAGATTGCATTTTGTGACTTTAAAAAAAGAACCGTTGGATTGATTAATTTTTTTCCCCCCCCACACACAAAATGTTTTCTGCTTTAGATCAGTGCATGGCAGAAACAAACATGCCATCGACTCCGGCAGACCACGGTGACGTTTACGAGAATGTAAATTGTGTTCGGCAATTGGCTGCTAAGTACGAAATACACGAAATACCTCGTGTCACAGTGGCCAAACCAAAACCAGTGGCCAAACCAAAACCAGTGGCCGTGAGACCAGGCAACAGCGGTAAGCCTGGACCCCCAGTGCTGCCAAAGCCAGTCACGAACAAAGCTAAAGACACCGGTAGCTCAGCAGACACGAAACACATTTCTGCCAAATATTTGGACGATGGGAGCACCACAAAAACTCCGAAAAAAGCGTTAATGCCTCCGATTGCTAACGTCTCCAACAAACATTCAAAGACGGCCGAGGGATACGCAAAGAAGGAAACTGATTGTGTCGAAGGAAAACTGAACTTGCAGTTATTAAGCCCTTCTTCGTCTACGACATCCACGTCCGTTTCAAAACAAGGGGACTGTCAGGTGAAGTCTCTCCTGAGCGGTCCCCCAATCCCAGACGAGGCCCTCAAAGCTGAGCACGAGCAGGGGCAGAAAGGCGAACTGACTGAGAAACCAAAAACACCTTTCAAGCCAATTCCTTCGCCGAGGATCGTGCAGACCAAGAAGACTGCCGCTGCTCCTGGTGAGTTGTGAAATATTCCGACTAAGCACGAATTAAGCCGTTGACGACTTCTGGCAAGGGTGATCCTCGTGGCGGACGGCACCACTTCCAATGCGAGAATTTCCCGAATTCAAATCCGCGCAGTAAGGAGATTAAGTGGAGCTTCCGACGGAAAGACTGATCCCCCCACCATGGCAATGTGGAGCTTCCACGACCGAAGCACGGGTTGCCGACAGAGAAGATCGACGCACGATTGCTCGCTTGACTCAGGAAAAAAAAAAACACCCCCCTCTGATTATGACTTCAACGTTTTGATGTGAACTAAGTTTTTGGTTTGCTTTTGTGGCAACGATGTTTTATCTTCTCCGTTGAAATGCACGTTCTCACTGCATTATATTTTCCTTGTTCAGCTGTTTGCACGGGTATTTTGCGCATCGAGGAAATAGTCCAAATTGCGTGCATTGTTTAATAATTTGCCTTCGCTTTCTTCTGCCCTTTTCTCCAGGAGCTCAGGAACCAACGGCGGGCGTCCACCTGACATTAACTCGTGCACACGAGCTAAGCGGACAAAAAATGGCAGATTTGAAAGCGACATCCGGACAGGAGAAACCTGATAAAGACGATCACGTGGCTCCACCATTACCATTGAGAATGCCGATCGGCAAGCAGATGGTTCATCCCCATCCGACCCCGACACCGGTACCAACAGACACCCCATCCGGTAAGCATTGGCACGATGACTGGTGTCATGGAATAACGTTTCGGTTTGCTCTTGCGATTACACTCGAGTCCGAAAATCGACTGCCCCACCACCAAAAACGTCTTGGGCCCTGTTGTACGAGCTACAAATTTTGGATTGGCATTTACAGGGAGCTTGCTTAAATACCTAGGCAGCTCAAGGCGCCTTACATCTATCTCATCTCATTCATTCCAATGCCCTTATGTAGTTTAGCCAAGGAGGCAGCCGTCCTCGTGCAGCAACGGGCCAGCAAATGAGCAGTAACCTTCCAGCTTGGGGGCAACGTTGCTGTTCGATTCTCCCAATTAAGTCATTTGTGAGCAACGTTTCGAGCTTGCAGCATGACGCCAGCGCTGGCACAAGTGGCCTCCTCTTTCTGTCGAATCACGTCGCTGGAATTTGCAATGCCCACTGTGAAGCAGACGGCACGCACTTTTGACGAATACGCCCAGAATATTAACAAGGGCGGCCACCGGCCCTGAACTGTGAACCTCTGAAACGAACGGCAAAATGCGTTACCGCTCGGCCGTGCCACCGGCCAAGAGAATTACGTAAAAGAAAGTTTCACTTTCAAGTATAATTTGTAAATCATTGTCTGATTGATGATGATTTACACTCACTCGTCTGACTCGTCTGATTATGGATGTGTTTAGACATAGATAGCGCGGGATATATCTCTATCTAAATCAGCTCTCGCCTCCCGTAAACCACCACGCGAGTGGTGTGTGTCCGCCCCCGCTGAATCGCTCTCCCCCATCCCCGGTGAAAACACACGCCGCTTGCGCGTAACTCACTTCTGCTCATTCCTTCTCTCTTGCCTCCCCTCTCAGCGTTGTCCCTCATCCCCGGCGTCACGGCCCCGGTCATTCCTTCTCCCCCTTCCTTCCCTTCCCTGCCCTCATCTTGAGCCGTGTGCCCTCTTTGTCCGTTTTGGGGACACTCCGTCCCAGCATCCCTTCCCTCTCACGGTCATCTTGCCTCCCTGTCTGCCCTCTGGCGCGACAGACTCTGCTCCCCTTCCCGTGGCGCGCCACTGGTTTACACATCGTTCCGGGACGGTCGTGCAGCGTTGCTGTGTCGTGGGTGGCGTTGTGCAGGGAGCGGCGGCGCAGCGGTTCGCGCTGCGGTTAGCGCTGCGCCGCGCTACGAACCCGGCGACCCGAGTTAGATTCCCGCTCACGGCCACCAACACCGGTGACGATTATCTGAACCGGTCCTGGGCCTCCCCTAGGTCGACTCGGCCTCAAATGAGTACCTGGTACGATGTGTAAACATCGCCACTAGGGAGACAAAGGCGGCCGGGCGTGGTGTTGGCCACCCACCCCCTCGTGTGCCGTGCCGGCCTTTATAGGTGCTCGCTAACAGCACTTGCCCCGACAGTCTGTTACAGGCTATACGGGGGATCTTTGTATTTGTTGCGTTTACCTATCCACAAGAAAACTTCTCGATGCTACCCAGTGGCGATGTTGGTCCGATGGTGGGCCCTACCCAGAAATTAAATTATTCCCACAGTCCCAGACGAGGCCCTCAAAGCTAAGCCTGAGGAGGGGCAGAAAGGTCAGTTCCCTCGCCGAGGAAAGTGCGGCCCAACAAGACCGCCGATGCTGCTGCTGGTGAGTTGTGAAAAATTCCAAATAAAAACACAAACCGAGTCGTTGGCAACTTCTGGCAAGAGTGGTTCTTGTGGCAGACGGCAGCAGTTTCACTACGAGAAGGTCTAGAATTCAAGTTCGTGCAGTAAGGAGATAAAAGTGGGCCTCTTACGGAAAGACTGGCCCCCACCATGGGAATGTGGAGCTTCCACGACCGGAGCACGGGCTGCCGACAGAGAAGATCGACGTACAGTTGGTGGCTTGACTCGGAAAGAAAGCTCTTTGATTATTACCCCAACGTTATAATGTGAACTGAGTTTTTGGTTTGCTCAAATTACTGGGGTGCGTTTTCCTCTCCGTTGAAATACACATTACATATATTTTCCAAGTTGAGCCGTTTGCACGGGTTTTTTTGCACATCGCAGCAAGAGTCTAAATTACGTGCGTTATTGAATCACTTGTCGTCGCTTTCTTCTGCCCTGTTCACCAGGAGCTCAGGAACCGACGGCAGATGTCCCCCTGAAATTGAATCCGCTTGCGTTAAAAGGACAAAAAACGGCAGACGTTATACCGACATCCAGACAGGAAAACCTTGATCGAGGCAATGACGTGGCTCCCCCAATACCAGCGAGAAGGAAGTCGAATATGGAGAAGCAGGTGGATGATGCCAATCCGACCAATGGTGCCCAAACACCGGTGCCAACAGACACCCCATCCGGTAAGCACGGGCACGATGACTGGAGTCATGGAGCCGTCTTTAAGGCCCCTTTACCCGCTTTGGGCCCTCAGCTTTTGCCTCGTCTGCTCATGCCGTGCGTCGCCGCTGAAGCTGCCGTTTGCCTCGTGCGACTTGTGAGACGCCCGCTTGAACCTGTCTCCGTCAGACGGCGGCGAGGAACCCGGCAAAGAAGTCGAAGAAATCGCCGAACCCAACGCAAAGCCTCCGGATCCGATGAGAGCACTCAAGCCCGGGCAGAGTCCACAAAAGAAAGCCCCTCTTCCGAAACAACCGTCGACCGAAAGGCCTCCGCCTCCACCGCTGCCCCCGCCGAGACGTCTGCAACCGATATACGCCAATAGTGGTGGGCATAACCACGATATTAACAGTGTCCTCGTAACACAGCGGCTTTCGCCACCGACGCTTTGATACATAAATGGGTTTTTTTTTTGGGATTGATGAAAAAATAAAAATCGCCGCGTTTGTTCACGTGCCAAATCGATGTATTTGAGTTGTCGCACCTACTAGCAAGGTCACGTTATAGGACTGATGCGGTATGATCTGTGTGATTTTAGAACCCATGTGTACCACAATTACCAGCAGGGTCACGCTGTAGGGCTGATGCCGTACGCTCCGTGTGGTTTGAGAACCCACGTATCACACCTACCAGGAGGGTCACACTTTAGGACCGATGTATGTATGTATCGATTAAAGAGGTTTTTTGGGTTAGATTGTTGTAAATGTATAAATGTGTCGTTAAAACCCGCCACCACCCGACACGGCCAACTAGTAAGGGTTGTCACGTAAACAGAACATGGCCAATTCGTCACTAGTACAGCACTAACCGGTGTGTTGGATAGCCAAGCCACAACATTTACAATCTGAGTACAACGTTTCGCCAGTAATTACAACTAGCTTCATCAGGCGACAGCCAGATCTGTGCTGTACTAGTGACGAATTGGCCACGTTCTATTTACGTGACAACCCTCACTAGTTGGCTGTGTCGGGTGGTGGCGGGTTTTAACGACACATTTATACATTTACGCGATCTCACCCAAAAAAACCCTCTATTATGGCTGATATTGGTCGCGAAAGCCTCCGTGTTAAACCGTATGCATGTATATTGAACTGCATTGGCACTATACGTAGCCAACCGTGCTAATCGGTGCGCTCCGTGTGATTTCAGAACCCATGTACCACGTCTACCAGGAGATATCACACATGCGGGCGCTGAACAGACTTCGGCACGTCAGCGACAGCGGCGAATCCGCGTTCTCGCCCGACGATTACGAAAGCTTATACGGCACAGCATCCGTGCAGGGGCTGGCGACAGTGAAGCAGATGGTCTCCCTGTGGAGCCAGCAGTCCAAAGTGATCGAGAGTGGCCTCATGAGCTCCCTGACCAAGCGTCAGATACAGCACCAAGAGGTGACGAATCCCGTGACGCTGCTTCGTTTCTTTGCCTTGCCGTCACGTGAACAATGCGTAAAATGTGTGACACAGCACAAGTGTTTTTTTTAGTCTTCGTTCGATTGAGAGGCACAGGAAAGGGGCAAACAAAGCGGGCATGGCAGCCAGAATCAGCGCAAGTAATTGCCCAAGCTGCGTGGCCCCATATTTGAGATGTTTTGGCCAACTCCCGTTACTTGAAGTGATTATCTGCGTGAAATTCCAAGCCTAAAAGGAGCTGTTTTCTGCAGTTCAGAGTGGTCGTGTTATTGTTGTGCAATATTGGTGTTATAAGTTAATGATTAGCGATACGGTTAAGGTTTTGTTTATGTTAAATAATATATTATGATCCATTGGGCGAGAGTATCTTGAAGTAGAACTCTGCTCCGTGTCACCGCGTGTTTGTTAACAAAAATATTTTGTAGCCATGAGTTTCGTTTAGCGCTGAGTGTCTGCTGTCCTCTACAGCCCTGTCACATCCATGGTGAAAGATGATTTAGAAATGTTATAATACAATTTATCATTATTATCAGGCTTTCCAGACCAACATCAATCAATAGACTGTTTTTTTTTTAAAGCAAGCGAAGTCTGGGCCAGTTTAGACTTTATGGGTCTCATCGGCATACACTAGGCTCGTTATACAAATGCTGCTGAATTACCAGCTGCAATTGGCAAGAACGGATGCTGCTTGATAATATTGATCTTAAAAGCCAATAAAATATGCTGATGGACTAAAAACATTTCCTTCATGTGCAGAAACACGGAACTGAGTTTTGCTCATTTGTGCTTTCTCCATAATTCTCTCCGGCCACGCACACTGGGTGTGTGTGTGCGGTGTTGCTTCTTCCCCTCCCTCCCTCGCTCGCTCTCTCAATTCGCCCCATTAACTCAAAGGAAAACATTTGCATTAGGTTATGTGTGTATCATGGAACAAGAAAACCAAGATGGTGGGCGGGGGGGCTACCCTAGGCCTAGAACCAGAGCCACTGATTATAGCCATGCCCCCCACCAGGAGTCAAACTTGAGGACGCCAACTTTAATGAAAGGTTTTGTTTCACGAGAAGTTTGCCTGTGGCTTGTGTCGTGGTGGCGACGGTGTGCCCCAGGCCATGTTCGAAATCGTCACGTCCGAGGCGTCCTACCTCAAAAGTTTGAACGTCTTCATCAACCACTTCATGGATTCGGACTCGCTCAACAGAATCCTCAGCCCCAGGGACAAGAATGACCTATTCTCCAACATCGTGCAGGTCAAAAACATCAGCGAAAGGTACTCATAACTCGGTCGCGTTGGCGTTTGAAACACAAATCAACAGGGGCTTCGTTCCACCAGAACGCACGTGTTGTATCGGGCAGTCGTTAGTGATGATCGTGCGACAGTCATCTGCACTCACCCTCAAAACGGAATCGTAATCTGTCTTTAGACTGCAGAAGGAATCCGATGAGCTATGAAGCTCTTGTTGACAGATGTCCAGTATGGGCGGCTCAGAAAGTTACAACAGCAAAACAAAGATGGAAAATTATAGGAGAGCAAAAATTGAGAAAATCGTAAGCAAGTCACTAAATATAAAACAATACTTATATAAGTCCGATTGTTTTAAGGCAGCGAAACAAACCCTCATCACTTCCCACCTGTTGCTACTCCCTGCCCCCCAGCTACAACCAGGCCTACCCCAACCCCTGTACCTACCCCTATTACTACCCCTATCACTACCCCTATTACTACCACAACCCCTATCACTACCCCAACCCCTGTACCTACCCCTATTACTACCCCTATCACTTCCCCAACCCCTATCACTACTGCTATCACTACCCCAACCCCTATCACTACCCCAACCCCTATCACTACCCCAACCCCTATCACTACCCCTATTACTACCCCAACCCCTATCACTACCCCTATCACTACCCCAACCCCTATCACTACCCCAACCCCTATCACTACCCCTATTACTACCCCAACCCCTATCACTACCCCCAACCCCTATCACTACCCCAACCCCTATCACTACCCCAACCCCTATCACTACCCCAACCACTATCACTACCCCAACCCCTATCACTACCCCAACCCCTATCACAAACCCAACCCCTATCACTACCCCTACCCCTATCACTACCCCAACCCCTATCACTACCCCAACCCCTATCACTACCCCAACCCCTATCACTACCGCAACCCCTATCACTACCCCAACCCCTATCACTACCCCAACCCCTATCACTACCGCAACCCCTATCACTACCCCAACTCCTATCACTACCCCTGCCCCTATCACTACCCTAACCCCTATCACTACCCCAACCCCTATCACTACCCCTACCCCAACCCCTATCACTACCCCTACCCCTATCACTACCCCAACCCCTATCACTACCCCAACCCCTATCACTACCCCAACCCCTATCACAAACCCAACCCCTATCACTACCCCTATCACTACCCCAACCCCTATCACTACCCCAACCCCTATCACTACCCCAACCCCTATCACTACCGCAACCCCTATCACTACCCCAACCCCAATCACTACCCCTATCACTACCCCAACCCCTATCACTACCTCGACCCCTATCACTACCCCAACCCCTATCACTACCCCAACCCCTATCACTACCCCAACCCCTATCACTACCTCAACCCCTATCACTACCCCAGCCCCAATCACTACCCCAACTCCTATCACTACCCCTGCCCCTATCACTACCCTAACCCCTATCACTACCCCAACCCCTATCACTACCCCAACCCCTACCCCAACCCCTATCACTACCCCTATCACTACCCCAACCCCTATCACTACCCCAACCCCTATCACTACCCCAACCCCTATCACAAACCCAACCCCTATCACTACCCCCTATCACTACCCCTATCACTACCCCAACCCCAATCACTACCCCAACCCCTATCACTACCCCTATCACTACCCCAACCCCTATCACTACCCCAACCCCTATCACTACCCCAACCCCTATCACTACCCCAACCCCTATCACTATCCCAATACAGGGAAGTCCCTATTTAACCAATGTTGCTAAACCGATGTTCGCCCAGAATGTTCGGTAGCTTCTGATGGCAGGTGTTAAAAAGAAACGAATCCTTTCCTACGTGGAGGGACGTATAGTTTTATTATTTAATGTGTTACTTACATTCTACTACATCAGCCTGGAAATTACTCATTGGGGATTTTCACGAAGCAGCAACGTCGCCCCCTACTGCGAAAACTTGGCAGGGACCTTCCTAAAAAAAAGAGTCGAGACGCCAAAGGCTTTCCTTGGGTGGATACATTTATTTATTTGAGATACTAAAAAAATATATACTGCGCATTCGTCAACAATATTAGCACGGTGCCAGGGTTGGCTACGCACGGCGCGAGGAAGTTCGACATACATACAACAAGACAGCCCCAACTGAACAAATTGGGGCTGTCTTGTTGAGTCGATGCCTTGGACAATGGCTTTCGCCCTTTCCCATAACAAAGACAAAGAGCCCCGGTGTAGCCTTAACAGACTGGAGGGGCAAGTGCTGTTAGCGAGCAGCACCTGTGAAGGCCGGCACGGAACGGCTCACGAGGGGGTGGGTGGCCAACACGGTGCCTGGCCGCCTTTGTCTCCCCAGTGGCGATGTTTACTACACACCGCACCGGGTACTCATTTGAGGCTGAGTCGACCTAGGGGAGGGCCCATGACCGGTTCAGATAATCGTCACTGGCGTTGGCAGTGGGGAAAGAGTCATTGCCCCGAAACGTCGCCAATTGAAGAAATGTGTTTGGTTTGGTTTTTCCTAACGCCGTGCCAACGGAAAGCGTCACGAAATAATTTATTTCACAGCCGGTTCCATGACGGAATCTTCCCCACGGCCGTTCGATCTCCGGTAACATTAAATCGAGCACAACGTGACCGACTGGCAGCAGCAGTGATGCAGTGAGAGGCAAAACTGTGGACAGGTTTCATCCTAAATAGGGGCTCATCAGCACACCTGGACGAGCCGCAACAGAACGGCATTGCACCTCGTTTCATGCTGCGACTTGAATTTATTTATTCTTTTTAAAAAATCAAGTGCCGTAAACAATTCTCCCTGCCAATTAGTTGAGTGAACGTTCGTCGTTGTTTATTAATTTTTAAAGCGGAATCGTGGGTTCCTGTGTCAACATGTTTACGCGCGTTGCAGCGGGTTTGTTTTTATGATTATTATTACACGCTTTCTATGAATTCACTCTGTCTGTTGTTGTCGTTGTTGTATCCTCAAATCTTGTAACTCTATTTTAACCCACTTCCCAATGTGGTATCGACTACAAACTTGGTATACTTATGTCATACTGATGACAATACTATATTATATCATAAAAAATTACAAAATATATTTTTTACATTTGTTTTTTATATGTTTCGGCGTGGGTCTAATTGTCCACGCTGTAATTGCTCACGGTCCCTGACGTTATGGCTGGAGTCGTGGAGTTCTTCCTTTACTCCAGTACATTAATGTTTACGATGTGACGATCGATCTACTGCTGGATGACTGGTATGCATCTCTACGCGATGTGCTACTTCGTTGAGCTATCGTTTGTGGCCAAGTAGGTTCTGCAAAAAAAAAAAGCGTGTTTAAAAAAAAGTTTTTAAAAATATATATGATTTTTACTTGTCTTTTCAAATCATTAACGATGGTGGATGCCCCGTGTCACTTTGCAAGTCTGCTGAGCAGGCTGAGGGAGCGAGTGGAGATGTCTCCGCTCATCTCCGAGGTGTGCGACATCCTCTACGAGTACTCTCTGAACCACTTCAAGCCGCTGGTCTCCTACGTCATCAACATCCCCTGCCAGATCACGACCTTCAAGAAGTTTAGGTGGGTTTTTATATATTTTTGTTACCGATTGCCGGCTTCGATAGTCGAGAATGCTCCCGATAACCGATTCCAGTCGGATTCGAAGTGTTGCAATGAACGCGCTGAACGGGCATGGTGGCCGAAGTCGGGTCCCAGCGGATGTCCACTGAGGACACGGAACGGAGAGAAATCAGTTCACGTGCGGGTGCTGGGTGGATTATTACTGCATCGCAGGATTATTATTGCATCGCAGGAGTATTATTGCATCACAGGAGTATTATTGCATCACAGGATTATTATTGCATCACAGGATTATTATTGCATCACAGGAGTATTATTGCATCGCAGGATTATTATTGCATCACAGGATTATTATTACATCACAGCATCATTATTGCATCACAGGATTATTATTGCATCACAGGATTATTATTGCATCGCAGGATTATTATTGCATCACAGGAGTATTATTGCATCGTCGGATTATTATTGCATCACAGGATTATTATTACATCACAGGATCATTATTGCATCACAGGATTATTATTGCATCACAGGAGTATTATTGCATCAGGATTATTATTGCATCACAGGATCATTATTGCATCACAGGATTATTACTGCATCGCAGGATTATTATTGCATCACAGGATTATTATTGCATCACAGGATTATTATTGCATCACAGGAGTATTATTGCATAACAGGATTATTATTGCATCACAGGATCATTATTGCATCACAGGATCATTATTACATCACAGGGTCATTATTGCATCACAGAAGTATTATTGCATCACAGGATTATTATTGCATCACAGGATTATTATTGCATCACAGGATCATTATTGCATCGCAGGATTATTATTGCATCACGGGGATCATTATTGCATCACCGGATTATTATTGCATCACAGGATTATTATTGCATCACGGGATCATTATTGCATCACGGGATTATTATTGCATCACAGGATTATTATTGCATCACAGGATTATTATTATATCACATGATCATTATTGCATCACAGGATTATTATTGCATCACAGGATTATTATTGCATCACAGGATTATTGTTGCATCACAGGATCATTATTGCATCACAGGAGTATTATTGCATCACAGGATTATTATTGCATCACAGGATCATTATTGCATCACAGGATTATTATTGCATCACAGGATTATTATTGCATCACAGGATCATTATTGCATCACAGGATCATTATTGCATCACAGGAGTATTACTGCATCACAGGATCATTATTGCATCACAGGATCATTATTGTATCACAGGAGTATTATTGTATCACAGGATTATTATTGCATCCCAGGAGTATTATTGCATCACAGGATTATTATTGCATCACAGGACTATTATTGCATCACAGGATCATTATTGCATCACAGGATTATTATTGCATCACAGGATCATTATTGCATCACAGGATCATTATTGCATCACAGGAGTATTATTGCATCACAGGAGTATTATTGCATCACAGGATTATTATTGCATCACAGGATCATTATTGCATCACATGATCATTATTGCATCACAGGATCATTATTGCATCACAGGATCATTATTGCATCACAGGATTATTATTGCATCACAGGATCATTATTGCATCACAGGATTATTAATGCATCACAGGAGGATTATTGCATCACAGGATTATCATTGCATCAGGATTTTTATTGCTTCACAGGATTATTATTGCATCCCAGGAGGATTTTTGCATCACAGGATTATCATTGCATCAGGATTATTATTGCATCACAGAATCATTATTGCATCACAGGATCATTATTGCATCACAGGATTATTATTGCATCACAGGATTATTATTGCATCGCAGGATCATTATTGCATCACAGGATCATTATTGCATCACAGGATTATTATTGCATCACAGGATTATAATTGCATCACAGGATCATTATTGCATCACAGGATTATTATTGCATCACAGGATTATTATTGCATCGCAGGATTATTATTGCATCACAGGAGTATTATTGCATCACAGGAGTATTATTGCATCACAGGATCATTATTGCATCACAGGATCATTATTGCATCAAAAGATCATTATTGCATCACAGGATCATTATTGCATCACAGGATCATTATTGCATCAGGATTATTATTGCATCACAGGATCATTATTGCATCACAGGAGTATTATTGCATCATAGGATCATTATTGCATCACAGGATTATTATTGCATCACAGGATCATTATTGCATCACAGGATTATTATTGCATCACAGGAGTATTATTGCATCACAGGCTCATTATTGCATCACAGGATTATTATTGCATCACAGGAGTATTATTGCATCACAGGATTATTATTGCATCAAAGGATCATTATTGCATCACAGGATTATTATTGCATCACAGGATTATTATTGCATCACAGGATTATTATTGCATCACAGGAGTATTATTGCATCACAGGATCATTATTTCATCGCAGGATTATTATTGCATCACAGGATTATTATTGCATCACAGGATCATTATTGCATCACAGGAGTATTATTGCATCACAGGATTATTATTGCATCACAGGATCATTATTGCATCACAGGATTATTATTGCATCACAGGATTATTATTGCATCACAGGATTATTATTGCATCACAGGAGTATTATTGCATCACAGGATCATTATTGCATCTCAGGATTATTATTGCATCACACGATTATTATTGCATCACAGGATCATTATTGCATCACAGGAGTATTATTGCATCACAGGAGTATTATTGCATCACAGGAGTATTATTGTATCACAGGATCATTATTGCATCACAGGATCATTATTGCATCAGGATTATTATTGCATCACAGGATCATTATTGCATCACAGGATTATTATTGCATCACAGGATTATTATTGTATCACAGGATCATTATTGCATCACAGGATTATTATTGCATCACAGGAGTATTATTGCATCACGGGATCATTATTGCATCACAGGATCATTATTGCATCACAAGAGGATTATTGCATCACAGGATCATTATTGCATCACAGGATCATTATTGCATCACTGGATTATTATTGCATCACAGGATTATTATTGCATCACAGGATTATTATTGCATCACAGGATTATTATTGCATCACAGGAGTATTATTGCATCACAGCATTATTATTGCATCACAGGATCATTATTGCATCACAGGATCATTATTGCATCACAGGATCATTATTGCATCACAGGATCATTATTGCATCGCAGAAGTATTATTGCATCACAGGATTATTATTGCATCACAGGATCATTATTGCATGACAGGAGTATTATTGCATCACAGGATTATTATTGCATCACAGGATCATTATTGCATCACAGGATTATTATTGCATCACAGGATTATTATTGCATCACAGGATCATTATTGCATCGCAGGATTATTATTGCATCACGGGGATCATTATTGCATCACGGGATTATTATTGCATCACAGGATTATTATTGCATCACAGGATTATTATTGCATTACAGGATTATTATTGCATCACAGGATCATTATTGTATCACAGGAGTATTATTGCATCACAGGATTATTATTGCATCACAGGATCATTATTGTATCACAGGATTATTATTGCATCACAGGATTATTATTACATCATAGGAGTATTATTGCATCGCAGGATTATTATTGCATCACAGGATTATTATTGCATCACAGGATTATTATTGCATCACTGGATCATTATTGCATGACAGGATCATTATTGCATCACAGGATCATTATTGCATCACAGAAGTATTATTGCATCACAGGATTATTATTGCATCACAGGATCATTATTGCATCACAGGAGTATTATTGCATCACAGGATTATTATTGCATCACAGGATCATTATTGCATCACAGGATTATTATTGCATCACAGGATCATTATTGCATCACAGGAGTATTATTGCATCACAGGATTATTATTGCATCACAGGATCATTATTGCATCACAGGATTATTATTGCATCACAGGATTATTATTGCATCACAGGATCATTATTGCATCGCAGGATTATTATTGCATCACGGGGATCATTATTGCATCACGGGATTATTATTGCATCACAGGATTATTATTGCATCACAGGATTATTATTGCATCACAGGATCATTATTGTATCACAGGAGTATTATTGCATCACAGGATTATTATTGCATCACAGGATCATTATTGCATCACAGGATTATTATTGCATCACAGGATTATTATTACATCATAGGAGTATTATTGCATCGCAGGATTATTATTGCATCACAGGATTATTATTGCATCACAGGATCATTATTGCATCACAGGATCATTATTGCATCACAGGAGTATTATTGCATCACAGGATCATTATTGCATCACAGGATCATCATTGTATCACAGGAGTATTATTGCATCACAGGAGTAATATTGCATCACAGGATCATTATTGCATCACAGGATTATTATTGCTCACAGGATCATTATTGCATCACAGGATCATTATTGCATCACAGGAGTATTATTGCATCACAGGATTATTATAGCATCACAGCATTATTATTGCATCACAGGATCATTATTGCATCACAGGATCATTATTTCATCACAGGATCATTATTGCATCACAGGATCATTATTGCATCACAGGAGTATTATTGCATCACAGGATCATTATTGCATCACAGGATCATTATTGTATCACAGGAGTATTATTGTATGACAGGATTATTATTGCATCACAGGAGTATTATTGCATCACAGGATTATTATTGCATCACAGGAGTATTATTGCATCACAGGATCATTATTGCATCACAGGATTATTATTGCATCACAGGATCATTATTGCATCACAGGATCATTATTGCATCACAGGAGTATTATTGCATCACAGGAGTATTATTGCATCACAGGAGTATTATTGTATCACAGGATCATTATTGCATCTCAGGATCATTATTGCATCAGGATTATTATTGCATCACAGGATCATTAT